CCCCAAAACCCCAAAACCCCAAAACCCCATTAAGAAGCTTCATCAATTAATATATTTATCTTTAATGAGGAATTATATTCGTAGATTTAGTAGTTCAGAAACTAGTTCATGAGATAGCGACAATGTATCTAATAGGAGAGAGGAGACAAAAATCTCTAGCCGAAGGATTCGCTGTGCCTTTGAGACACCTAAATATATAAAGACTAAACTTGAGAAATCCAAGGTAAAAACTTTGTATTATTTGGCACGGCTGATCTTACTTGGTAGCTCAAATTTTTCACAAGAAATTGATAATTTCATTGCTGTTTTGAAGGATTTTCAAATATTCAGTTAGAAAGCTAAAAATATAGGAGGATACAGCACCAATGTCAAGATTTAATTCGAAAAAAGAAAATATCACCGACCTTGGTCCTTTGCATTGTCCTGTATGCTTTTACTCAGATCGAGAGAAATGGCTGCTCTGTAAGAAATGTGGCTATAACTGCTGCAATATTTGTTGGAAAAAAATTCTTGCTCGATCTCAGAAATGTCCCCAATGAAAGGAGGATGTAAATAAGTCAAAGCTTGTCAAAAATAATGTTTATGATACTCTCAAAGAGCAGCAGATCAAGTTTGAAAACTTGCTAAGCGATAAGGTTGGTCGAGAATGCCATCCCCATCAGAAGATGGGCAAACACTTTTGAGAAAGCTGTTCAAGTTTCATCTGAATTCAGTGTATAAAAGAAGGAATACATTCCGATCATGATATATGCGATGTCGATGAGAAACCGGAATTAAAGGAGAAAATCAAAGAAATCAATGTCTTTTGTAGAGATCTAGCTCAAGGCCCGAGGTTATTAGACAAAGTACAACATGAGCATCTGGACTCAGTTAAGGAGTATCGAAAAGCTTTGAAACAATATGCAACAGAAATGAAAACAAAGCTTTCAAAACTAGTTGATAAAGGTCTTGAACCTTTTTATTCAGAAATAAAAGAATTAGAAGAGAAAAACATGACTGTCGATGATGAAATTTCCAGTTTAGAACAAGTCATCACCGAGATTGGGACTGAAAGCTTGAGGACTATCAACAAGCAGCAACTGGTTGCTTCTTTTCAGGATAAATTGTTGAATTCAGAAAAGAGCAGTCTCTTCAGCCTAGTTACTCCTGAAGGTAAGCATCACTTCAATTCTTCTAGGTGTTAACTTCTCAAAGGACAATATCGCTAGCCTTCTCGGGCTGGTGCCCGAGAAGGCAGATCTGGAGAGAATTGGCAAAGTGTTGAAGAAGGAACTGCTGGAGAATATTGAAAATAAAATTTAGACTTCATTTAGATACCAGAGGATAGGGGTTTTGGGGTTTTGGGGTTTTGGGGTTTTGGGGTTTTGGGG